AAAATAGACTTAATAAGGTAATTAACTTTTCGGTTTGTTCACATTTAGGTAAATATCTTTTTTTTGTATATATATTTAGGTAACAAACTTTTTGGAAGCGTTCACATATGATCATTATGATCGGCTATAGCAGGTTACATCTAGTCATAACCGATCATAATTGTCATATGTGAACACTTCCAAAAAGTTTGTTACCCAGATGTGTACAAACAAAAGATACTTACCCATTTGTGAACAAACCGTAAAGGTAAAAGTAAATTACACGAATGGTCCCTGTAGTTTGGATAATTTGTACGTTTGGTCCTTAACTTATTTTTTTAGACAAAATTGCAAAAATGGTCCCTGTGGTATGCAAATTTTTGGGGTTTTAGTCCAAACAGTGATTTTTTTGGTTTCGTAGTCCTTTTGGAGTGGTTTGTATGTGAAAATGGTCCCTCCGAAAATTGAAATGACTATAATACCCTTGGGGTATTTAATTTTCATTTTTCTTTCATTATTCTTAAAATATAATATTTATTTATTTATTTTAACAATTAAAAAAATAAAAAAGGTCCCACCTCTCTCTCTCTCTCTCAACACCAAAGAACACCTTCATCATCTCAAGAACACATATTCGTAAACTCAAGAACATATTCATGAACTTAAGAATATCTTCCACAACCACCACCCTTTGACCACCGTTCACCACCACCACCACCCCTTGAACATCGTCTTCCACCACCTTAGTCTGCCACTACCACCGTCTGCCACCTCCATATATGGTTCCACCATTACCCAAAATCCCCTTCCCCTCCACCGTTCACCTCCTCCAACAACCTTTTTCAACCATCTCCGGCAACCGTTCGCCTCTGAACAGGACCATTCTTCACCTCCAACAAACACCACAGTTCACCTTCGCCAACACCAACCAATCACAACATCCACCACCATTGTTGAAATCTAATTTTAACCTCAAATCAAAACCAAGAGATTTAACTTCAAATCTAACCTACAACTCAAATTCTAACTCAAATCTAAGCATCATTACTGAAATTAAAAAGAATCTACCACATGACTTCAAATCCCACCTCGATTTACATGATTAAAACAAGAATAGGCTTGTTGAATCGATTAGAATTTTGAAACCCAGATGATGAAGGTTCAGAACCATATAATTTGAAGGTTGAACCATGAAGTTGATCAAGGAAACACCATTCCAGGGATACACGACTGAGACCAAATCAATGACTCTTTATCTCCTTACGCAACGCTGCATCATCTGAGTTAGGCCTTAGAGATCAATGACTTCGATATTGACCTTATTTGACTCCTCCACCACCGATGGTTTAGAGAGCCAATTGACAGAGGAATTGGACCAAAGACTAAGCTAGACATAACGCCGAGCACCTGGAGTGCATCTAAAGGATTTCGAACTCTGTAAGTGGCTGGGCACGCACCCGTCTTCATCCTCACAAACATCATCATCATCATTTGTCCCTTCTAATACAACTATGCATAAATCTGTGGGAACCAATGCTTTACCCATTGCTGGCACTTTGCTTTACCCCTTCAGAATGGTTAAAAGAGACCAGATCTCCGATAGCTTCTTCACTCTGAAAAGAGGTTGATGGTGGTCGGAGTTTCCATTTCAGTCGATAATTTTTTAATCTTTAGGTAGGACCTTCAATTTCAGGGCTACCGTTTAACATTATGAAGATGATGAAGGAGATGAAAAGAGGGAAAGAGATTAATTGAAACCTGTGTGAAAGTGAGAGGAGAAGGTTTCCTGAGGAGTTGAAGAACAACATCGATTTTTTTTTCTTGATCTGCGTTTGGTGGAGAGAGAGAGAGAGAGAAAGAGAGAGAGAGAGAGAGAGGTGGGACCTTTTTTATTTTTTTAATTGTTAAAATAAATAAATAAATAAATATTAAATTTTAAGAATAATGAAAGAAAAATGAAAAATAAATACCCCAAGGGTATTATAGACATTTCAATTTTCAGAGGGACCATTTTCACATACAAACCACTCCAAAAGGACTACAAAACCAAAAAAGTCACTGTTTGGACTAAAACCCCAAAAATTTGCATACCACAGGGACCATTTTTGCAATTTTGTCATTTTTTTTAAATTGGATGATCCATACTCTTTATTTTTGTTATGCGTTTGGTCCATGTCTTACCTCAAAAGACTATTGTACCCTTTTTAATTTATTTTTTAATTATTTTTCTTATTTATGTATTTATTATTTATATATTTTAAAAAATTAATAGACCTCACATATTTGTATCTCCTTACCTTAAACCTGAAACCACATTCAAGAAACTTAAGTTTGATCCCACCAGTCACCATCTCATCTTTCATCCTCCTCGACTTCTCTTTCATTTCCATCTTTGATGACATCTCCGTCTTCACTATCCATTCTTTTTTTTGTCCTTCAACTCCAACAAACTATCTTCACAACCCACTGTCTCTTCATTGAATTTTCCACCACCACAACTTGTGGTGGTGGAAAATTCAATGAAAAGACAGTGAGTTGTGGTGTTGGTTCGTCGGAGTTGAAGGACCGAAAAAAGAAGAGATAGTGAAGACGTTGATGTCATTAAAGATGAACAGGAAAGAGAAGTTGAGTATGATGAGAGATATGATGGTGACTGGTGGGACTAAGTTTAAATTTCTCGAATGTGGTTTCAGGTTTAAGGTGAGGAGATATAAATATGTGGGATCTATTAATTTTTTAAAATATATAAAAAATAAATACATAAATAAGAAAATTAATTAAAAATAAATTGAAAAAGGGCACAATAGTTTTTTGAAGTAAGACAGAGGCCAAACGCACAACATAAATAAATAGTAGGGATCATCCAAGTTAAAAAATAAGTTAGAGATCAAACGTGCAAATTATCCAAACTACAGGGACCATTCGTGTAATTTACTTTTACATTTTTTGTGTGTTCACATTTGGGTAACTATCTTTTTTTGTACATATCTAGATTACGAACTTTTTGGAAATGTTCACATATGACAATTATCACTGGTTATGACCGGATGTAATTTGCTACAGCCAGTCATAATGATCATATATTAATACTTCCAAAAAATCCGTTACCAAAATGTGTACAAAAAAAAATTACGTGATGTTAACAAACCGAAAAATTAATTATCTTATTAAGTCTATTTCCCATTGAAAAATAACAATGCATATAGTTTTTATAATTATTCAATATGAAATTATATACAATTCTATTTATATGCGAATTTTAGTGGGGGTCATTAAGGGTATATTGCTCGGGATAAATTTTTATAGTAAATCATATTAACTTTAAGCAGTTTAAAAAATATGTTAATTTGATTTTGATTTTGTAAATTGTATTTAATAATTATAACTAATAGATATCTGTCTTACCATATGATTCAAGAAAAACACAAAAAATTAATATTATTTTTTGATTTTTCTTGAATTTATTATTTTACACTTGATTTTATTGAGTTAGTTATTTTTAAAATCATATTTTTTAATTATATAATTTCTTTTTTGCACACCATGCAGATACTAGTTTATTAATAATAAAAACATACACATTCTTCAAAAAAAAAAATGATTTAACAAACTACTTAATTAGCCTTTTTGCCAACGATGAAAATACACATGATTAAGATTTATAAAATTGGTCAAGTGATAATCATTGTGATTTTAAACATTCAACAATAGACTATGTTTTAAATTCAAATTTCAGAAGTTTCAATTTTATGATAACATCTATTTGGAAACAACAAAAAATGATTAAGAAAATCCTACATAAAAGTTATAATATAAAATCAAATATTTCATATCTAGTTTTTAATAATAAATAAATTTTTAAAAAAAAACGTTGATTTTTTCAGAGATAATATTACTAAGAAGGCATATTAAATTATAATATTTAATTTTTTCAAATGAAAGAATGACAACTGTATTGATTAAAGAAATTAAATCAATCAAATAGCAAATAATAATTTCTTAAAAAATCTTTCATATTTATACATAGTAGTAAACATATGTTTTCAGTACATCAAAGATGGTTCATTTAATTCCACCAAACCTTTAGATATGTTTCATGTAATGATAAAGGCACCTTAAAATAATACATTTTTTCTTTTTTTGGAAACTGAAAAAATATTTTCAAAAAATAAAATTGAGTTTTTATTTTCAATTTTCAATGAAAATTTAGAAAACAGTTTGGGTTTTCATTTTCCATCTTAGAAATTTAAAAAACTTAAAAAAACTGTAAAAATCACTTTCCTGAAAAATAACAATGCATACAGTTTGGGTTTTCGTTTTCAAAACTTTTATTTTTCTAGGAAAATTTCCTGAAAAACTAGATGATAACTATTAGTAGACCAAATCGTCCATTTTCAGCAAAAAAAAAAAAAAAAAAAATACAAATGCAACACACTGTGTACAGTAATAGTTTTTTAGCTATTTATGTGTCACTCTTTAATTTATTTTAGCTTTAATAAAAACTAAAACTTTGTGCAAGTTTATGTCGACTAAAAGTAAAGAAAAATCTACATGGAAACAATTAAATAAGAACCACCGAGAAGTCCACAATCCGCAAAACCCAACCAAACCTAGATTTTAAGAGAGCCCTGCGTAGCCTACTAACCTTAAGGACCATTCATTTTATGTGGATAAAATAAGATGTTTAAAAAGATATTTGAAAAAAAAAAAAAAAAAGGTAAACTTTGTAAAAAAGTTGGTACTTATAAAAAAGCTCACTTTCATAATCATAACTTTCTTTATTAACTTTTACTGTCTACATTAAGCCAAAAAGAAATATTACCTAGAGTTATGGTCTATTGGTCTATTTGATAACTTCACTGTCTTTGATACAAATGCCTCTTGATAACTAAGGAACCATACATCGTCTTAAGTATTAAGAGGTCAAAATCATTTAGCACTAAATAATTCAGTTGTGACAAAAGGAAACAAGAGAACTACAGCAATAAGTAAATCAGGCAAAAGCAATGTAATACAGTGGGCTAATATATAGACATCTGCCTATCTGTATAACCCAAAACATTTAGATTAGTGTTTCATAATTCATACCTTAACATTTACTACCAAAACATATACACCTCTATACAAAAACACAATCTTCCAACAAATTAAACACATATAGGCCTCCACTTACTTCCAATTTCATTAGACCCTTCTTGATTTCTTGATACCTTTTGTGTGGTGATAATTGTAGTTGGGTGATTGTTTCTTTTCAGATCTGGTTCTGATTCACAACCACCACAAGAATCAACCTTGGTCCTATGTGGCATCAACTCAGAACCTACAGCTACTAAATCCTTCATCAACTGCATTTGCCACGTCACAATATGTTTTTTCTTAATTTCTTCATCTTGCATTAACTATTTATTACATGGTATCTACAATTAATATCTTTACCTTCCAGTCGTTGAAGTCAAACTTAAAAACAAAGTGAGAGTAAGCCACTTTCCCTGAAGATATCATGCCAGCAGAAGGAGCATTTCGTGGTGCTGAATATATATATATATATATATATATATATATATATATATATATATATATATATATATATATATATATATATATATATATATATATATAGAAATATAAGTTGATAAGTTACAAAAGTGGAGAAAAAATAAGAGATAATAAAATAGTTCATGAAGTGTTACATACAAACATGATGAGAGCCTTTTTCATCCACTGTTATCAAAACTCTCCCATCTTTCACCAAGAAGGACAAGGCAAACAAGTTCTCCACAGTTTGTGCAAATGAGACTCTGTTTAGGATAATGTTTTCAAGGCAAACATTAGTGTTGGTTTTGAGGATGTCAAACATTGATGCAATTGTTTCCTCGGTGTCTGTCTTCTCTTTAGAGACTGTATCGTCGATCTGTGGACAATGGAAATAATACAAACGCGTTCAAATGATTAAACAAATAATTAAAACCATCATATTGACATACCTCTTCTGGTTTCACCTTCTTTTCCTTCAGAGATGATCTTGAACGCTTTCGTTCAACTAAAACTTTTGGTGGTTTAACATCTTGGTTCATCGGCCCAATCCTTCAAGGAGATTTACGTACAAATGATTAGGAAAAGGAAAAAAAGAGTAATACAAAAATGGGAATAGATCGAGGTAAAGAACTCACATGGTGCAGGAACCCTGAAAGGTCATGAAAAGTGGATGAGAAGCATGTAACCCGATATCTTTCCACTGAATTTGAGTAGTTTCGGTAATTTCTGTACTTTCCTTCTTCCCAAATTGATTGATCAAGCTTGAAACAAATAGTGACGGAGTTACACTTCCTGTGCTATGCACTCTAATGGAAGCCACCAGCGTGTTGGCTAGGTCTCGTAGTGCCTCCGCATCCGACACTTGCTCTCTAGGTTTATTGACTACAATAGCCGAATAGGTATTTTGTGTGTTTGTATTAGAAAGCGAATTACTATGATCCAAAAATCAATCACCGGTGGAATAACACGTTGCCAATGATTGCAGTAAATAGTGTAAGCTTATATGTTTGATCAATTTTGTATTTATACAAAATTGATTGCAACTTGCAAAAAAGGAAACGAAGAGGCATAACGTCTTCCAGTAAGTTTAAGAAGAAATTGAAAATTGATAACGGTGATCTTGTAAAATTTAGGGTGAACGACGTCAGAATCATAAAACAGCAGAGCATGAGCATTACCTAGATGGTGCATTTCCTCGACTTCGTCTATGATGGCGATGAATTTCTTTGAATTAGCTGCTGCTATCTCATCTCTTCTATCTGAGAAATTACATCCAGAATTAAGAGAACATATGAATAAACGAAATCAAAAGAAATGGTTATGTGTTAAAACTAGTTGCATGCTTTTTGTAGAATAAACAAGGAGAAGTACCCCGAATGTAACTCTGAATTGAGAGATATCCGGAACGAAGAACTCTGCGCTGCGCAAAGTTTTGATCATCCGACTGATTTTGATCAGCGCCATCTGTATGCTCCGTCTTAGGACGCTTCTTCCGATCATACATTATTGCTTCTACTTAACAGATGGGTCTTTAGTTTGTTTCAAGGTCTTTAGTTGGAATTCGTAGAAAAAAAAACCCTAACTAAGAGAGAGAGAGAGAGAGAGAGAGAGAGAGAGAGAGAGAGACTTTGTATCTAAAGTTCAAGCTTTCAAGAGAAGCAGAGTTACTTTGGCGTACCCAGTACGATTTCCATGTAGACGTGCGATGACGTAGGGTGTCAGTTCCCGCGTTTATGAGAAAAAACTGAATTTGAATGAAATGCCTTCAAAAGTAAAGTTCAAAGTTCGAACTTTTTTTTAACTTTTCAATTTTATGTGTTATTTTACCAATGGGGTGGATTGATACATTTAAAAAAATTATATTTTTTGTATATAAAAATGTTTATTAGTTTGTATAGGAGTAAATTGTAACATTAAACCTTAGTACGCATGGAAACTTTTAAAAATAGAAATACAAAAAATAATTATTCTCCAACAAGTGACAAAGAGACAAGTTAGAAAATGTTTAATGGTAATTTGTGAAACTCACATCACTTTTTAATTTCTTTCTAATAATAATTATAATTTAGTTAATTAGGTTAAATAAATATCAAATGTAAGTATACTCATACATAAACTAAATTTCAGTATTAAAATAATATATTTACTTCTATTTATAAAGTTATATTTTTTAACTTTTAACATATTATACTTAATTTATTAGTTTTAATATATTGTTGAATGTAAATCATTATCATTTTAAAGATACAATTTTGAAACAATTTATATAAAATACTTAAATTATTAATTTAAATATATAACATTACAGTGTAAACTTAAATATAAATTTTAGTTTAACTTAAACAACTCAAAGAATATTTTATAAATAGTTAAAAGTGATAATTGTATTGTCTTTTTAATAATAATTATAAGTTGGTTAATAAGGTTAAATAAATATCAAACCTAAAGTGGCATTATAAATAAACTAAATTTCAATTTTAAAATAATATATTTACTTTTACGTATAAAGTTATGTATTTAACTTTTAACATATTATACTTGATTTATTAGATTTAATATGTTGTTATATGTAAACCATTATCAGTTTAAAATTACAACTTTTGAACAGTTTAGACAAAATACTTAAATTGTTAACTTAAATTTAACATTATAAAGTCGACTTAAATATCAATTTCAGTTCCACTTAAAAAACCAAAGAATATTTTGTAAATAATTAAAAGTAATAAGTTGTAGTGATAAATACAAAAAATAAATTGTAATCTCAATTTAACTAAAATATTTCCTAAAGATATTTTTAAAATCATTAAAAGTTTTCAAATAAGTAGTTTAAAATAACTTAAAATAACAATAGTTAAAAATAACTATATATAAATGATTATATTTTTACCTTTAAAATCAAAAAATAATGTTTGATTTTTCTAAATAATTACAATGTACCTGGGGCCCAACTTGCCCCGCTTCCTGAACCGGATGACACCTTTCCAAGGTGACACCTTCAGGAGGACCATATCCCTGACCTGAAACTCCAAGTCTGAACGACACTTGTCGACATAATTTTTCTACCGACTCTGAGCAATCTAAAGTCTGCTCCAGACCTGCTGGATCCTCTCTGTCGTCTTGAGTACCACTTCGATACTCTCCATGACCCTCTGCCCAACCTCACCCCAACATATTGGGGTCCTGCACTTCCTTTCGTATAATATCTCGAAGGGAGGACGGTCAATACTCGCATGGTAGTTGTTATTGTAGGAAAACCCTGCCAAGGGTAGGTAGGTATCTCGGCTACCACCGAAGTCTAAAACGCATACCCGCAGCATATCCTCCAAAGTCTAAATGGTCTGCTCACTCTGACCATCCGTATGTAGGTGAAAAGTGGTGCTAAAGTGCAGACGAGTAGTCATCTCGTCGTGAAACTTCTTCTAAAATCTGGAAGTGAACCGTACGTCTCTGTCAGAAAATATTGGATTTTCTGGAATCACTGTAACGACCCGTTCCCGGTATGTTGATTTAATGGTAATTATAGTGAGTTTTTCAAGAGGGACTCGGCGAGTTCTAGCCTGACTCGCCGAGTAGGGTCGCGCCTGAGGGCACGCGTGAGCCGGGGACTCGACGAGTCCATATCCCTGACTCGGCGAGTCCATCTGTCTGGGTGAAACCCTAAAATCCCCGGGTTGCCCACTATTTATACCACCTTATAGCCCCCATTCTCGCCTCCCTCACCCTGAGAACGCAGTGATAGAGCCTTAAACCTCCCTTGAAGAGCTTATATGTGTTTTGGTGCCATTTTGTGAAGGTGTGAAGAAGGAGAAGAAGGAAGAAGCAAGGAGAAGTGTTATAGTGCAAAGATCCAAGGCCAAATCAGAGTTAATTGAGGTATTTTCGGAGTTCCATCTTGTTATATGCTTTAAACTCCCATTAGAGCTCTCCTAAGATCTAGTTGATGCTTGTTCCAAGCCTTACACTTGCATGAATGTCTTATTAAGTCGGAATATCTATGGATCTGAATGTTGGGGTGTTGTAGAGCCCAGATCTACTGTCTTTTTGGAGTTATATTGCATGATAACCATAGATCTACCCATTTTATGCATCTTTTAGCCTTATTTCCCTTATTCATGAGGTTGTACACGTAAAGTTGGAAACTTTACGTGGTAAATCAGCTTATTGGACTCAGATCTATCAATTGTATGCATTGGATTCAAACAAAATCAAGTAAAAATCAGTTGCATGGCGGCAACTCGGCGAGTCGGAAGAACGACTCGACGAGTTGGGTCGTGAGTCCCGAGTTCTTCAGTTTTATCAGTGTCGAGTGGACGAGGTGAGTTAGAGAGTGGACTCAGCGAGTTGAGGGTGAACTCAGTGATGGAGGGACTCGGCGAGTTGTTCATCAACTCGGCGAGTCCAAGGCAATCTTCTTGGGATCAAGAACAACTCGTCGAGTCTGTTCATCCGACTCGGCGAGTCGGATGAAGATTGTCTGAGTTCTTGGATCAAGAGGGTACTCGTCGAGTCGATGCCAGACTCGACGAGTAGCAGTGAGTAAAGTGAAAAGTGAGAGTAGGACTCGGCGAGTTGGGTGGCCCAACTCGGCGAGTCATCCCAAAGGAGAGTTGACTTTGACCGAGGGTAAAAGAGTCATTTTACCCCAAGCGCAGTGTTTAGTATTTGATTGAGTGTGTTTATGGACTTGTAGCCGAGGAGATTCAGGAGCAGCCGCCGTTAGCTTTCCGAGCCACACACTCAGCAGCCAGCTTACGAGGTGAGTTTCCTTCCAGTAGGAACGGGTCTAAGGCCACAATGCCGGCCCGTTCAGTTAGCAGTAGTTTCCGGATTTAGGTCCGATGCAGTAGTTAGTATGTTCGATGCCTTCGTGGCTCGAACAGGATTTGTGTGCTATGTTTATGTGTTAAGTATTATGTGTTCCGGGCCACGGCCCGATGTAGCATGTCGTATTGTGTTATGCTAGTTGATGTGTTATGCTATGCCATGTTCAGTCAGTCAGTTCCGACTTCGGTCCGATGCAGTTAGTTCCGGATTTCGGTCCGATGCAGGGGACAAGGTCCCAGTCAGTTCCGGACTTCGGTCCGATGCAGTTAGTTCCGGACTTCGGTCCGATGCAGGGGACAAGGTCCCAGTCAGTTCCGGACTCGGTCCGATGCAGTCAGTTCCGGATTTCGGTCCGATGCAGTTAGTTCCGGACTTCGGTCCGATGCAGGGGACAAGGTCCCAATCAGTTCCGGACTTCGGTCCGATGCAGTTTCCGGGCTTCGGCCCGATGCAGTGGGCAAGGCCCAATATGTGTTTATATGTTATTGTATGGTATGTGGTAGTTTGGGGGAGCTCACTAAGCTTCGTGCTTACAGTTTCAGTTTGGTTTCAGGTACTTCCGCAAGCAAAGGGAAGAGCTCGGGGTGACAGCATCGCACACACCACAGCATAGCTTTTATCCTGGGGATGTCTCTTGATGTTTTGGATTGATGTAGTATGATACAGTTTTCCGCACAATATTTTATTATGTTTTGGGGATACATCGCGTATGTTTTATGTTATGATACTTATATTATGGTTTTGATTATATGGAAAAACGAAAATTTTTGGGTCGTGTTTTTGGGTTGTTTCAAGTTGGTATCAGAGCCCTGGTTTGAGGGATTCGGATACACTTCCGGGTGTATCTGAACTCAAACTAAGGGAAATAAAAGATTTTAATAAAAATGTTTTACAAAAAGAATTTTGAAAGCACTTGGAAAGAAAGAATTGTTTTTAACAAGATAGAGGTGTGTGCATGCGGTCAGCCGAGCTCAAGTAAGTACTCCCAAATTACCCATACAAGTTATTTGTTCAGTTTCAGTTTCAGTAGAACAGCATGCTAGTATAGGGCTAAGGATCTAGGAGAATGCCTTATGTGCCTGCTTATGTGTTACAGCTTTATGAGTATTGCATGCTAGAATTGAGTAGACAGCAGTAGGATAGCCTGTTTAGGTTATGCCTGATAGTATGAGCTTAGCATCCTATGCTAGTGCAGTTTCTTGTTATAAGAATAGTTTTGCCTGAGTCTATTTCCCGTGTCCGAATGCTGCTTGCTTCGTGCTTAGTGGGGTTCTGAGTAGTGGGAGTTAGCCATTAGGTGAACACGTCACACCACATGTAATCAGGTTTGAATAATCCCAGAGTGCTGGAACTGGCCCTATTGCGCAGCTCTTGTTTGAGTCCAACCGTTGTAGGGACGGATCTTTTACTTGAAGGATTATCTGATCCTCATCACATGTGATGGTGTTTAGGTGGTGGCTAACTGGCATTATGAGGAGACCTACAGCAGCTGAGGACCAGTCGCGTTGAGCTTGAAGTTTCCCTAGGGCAAGCCTAGGATGAGAGTAGCAGAGAATGGCAGTAGTAGAAGTGACTTGGTGGAGTCAAGGCAGTTCTTGAGGAAAGTACGGATAGATGTGGAAGGTAGTAGGGGCCCATACTACTGAAAGCAGAGGATCCGTACTCGAATTAAGGAAGGCCAAGACAAGACCAGGAAGCTAGTAGTAGTATCATGTCCCTTGAGATATTTCAGTGTTCTGATGTTGTTATGATATGTTTCAGAA